GGGGAAAGGGTGAAAATCCCAAAATCTTCTGGGGGGAAAGGTGAAAACCCCAAAATCTTCTGGGGGAAAGGATGAAAACCCCAAAATCTTCCAAGGGAAGGATGAAAACCCCAAAATCTTCTAGGAGGAAGGTGGAAACCCCAAAATCTTCTGGGGGAAAGGATGAAAACCCCAAAATCTTCCAGGGGAAAGGTGGAAACCCCAATATCTTCTTGGGGAAGGATGAAAACCCCAAAATCTTCTGGGGGGAAGGGTGAAAACCCCAAAATCTTCTGGGGGGAGGGTTAAAATCCCAAAATCTTCTAGGAGGAAGGTGAAAACCCCAAAATCTTCCAGGGGAAAGGTTAAAACCCCAAAATCTTCCGGGGGAATGGATGAAAACCCCAAAATCAGGGTGGATGGGCCGCTGTTCGTTGCGGTGGGTGAAGCTTTGCCGGGAACTTTGCGAGGGGCATTTTAAAGGAAAAGGTTAAAGAAAAAGGAGTTAAACCATCAATGAGATCGGCCCCGATCCAGAGCTGTCACAGGAGCCCAGAGCTGTCAGATGAGCCCAATTTCGGGAGCTGGAAAGGATAAACTGGAACCTCTTGTCATTTAGAGAGGGGAAAAAAAAAAAAAAAAATATAAAACCCAAACGTTTGAAATGTTAAAATTAAAATGTAACATTTCTGCCAATCGATCTGTGAAATTTCGTGACAAAATTGGCAGCCGGCTCCGGCATAAAAACACTCGGAGATTTGTGTTCCACAAAGGGGGATGGGAATTCCTCAAGAGAGCCGCGCTGGGCTGGGCTGTCCTTGTCACCAAGGGTGTCTGTCCTTGTCACCAAGGGTGTCTGTCCTTGTCACCAGGGCTCTGTCCTTGTCCCCAGGAGTCTGTCCTTGTCACCAGGGCTCTGTCCTTGTCACCAGGGCTCTGTCCTTGTCACCAAGGGTGTCTGTATTTGTCCCCAGGGCTCTGTCCTTGTCACCAGAGGTGTCTGTCCTTGTCACCAGGGCTCTGTCCTTGTCACCAGGGCTCTGTCCTTGTCCCCAGAGGTGTCTGTTCTTGTCCCCAGGAGTCTGTTCTTGTCCCCAGGAGTCTGTTCTTGTCCCCAGGGATCTGTCCTTGTCCCCAGGGCTCTGTCCTTGTCACCAGGGCTCTGTCCTTGTCCCCAGGAGTCTGTTCTTGTCCCCAGGGGATCTGTCCTTGTCCCCAGGGCTCTGTCCTTGTCCCCAGGGCTCTGTCCTTGTCACCAGAGGTGTCTGTTCTTGTCACCAGGTGTCTGTCCTTCTGTCCTTGTCCCCAGGGCTCTGTCCTTGTCACCAGGGCTCTGTCCTTCTGTCCTTGTCCCCAGGGCTCTGTCCTTGTCCCCAGGGGTCTGTCCTTGTCACCAGGGGTGTCTGTCCTTGTCCCCAGGGGTCTGTCCTTCTGTCCTTGTCACCAGGGCTCTGTCCTTGTCACCAGGGATCTGTCCTTGTCCCCAGGGGTTTGTCCTTGTCACCAGGGGTCTGTCCTTGTCCCCAGGAGTCTGTTCTTGTCCCCAGGGCTCTGTCCTTGTCACTAGGGCTCTGTCTTTGTCACCAGGGGTCTGTCCTTGTCACCAGGGGTCTGTCCTTCTGTCCTTGTCCCCAGAGGATCTGTCCTTGTCCCCAGGAGTCTGTCCTTGTCCCCAGGGGATCTGTCCTTGTCCCCAGGGGTCTGTCCTTGTCCCCAGAGGTGTCTGTCCTTGTCCCCAGGGATCTGTCCTTGTCCCACTAGGGCTCTGTCTTTGTCACCAGGGGTCTGTCCTTGTCACCAGGGGTCTGTCCTTCTGTCCTTGTCCCCAGAGGATCTGTCCTTGTCCCCAGGGGATCTGTCCTTGTCCCCAGGGGTCTGTCCTTGTCCCCAGAGGTGTCTGTCCTTGTCCCCAGGGATCTGTCCTTGTCCCCAGGGCTCTGTCCTTGTCCCCAGGGATCTGTCCTTGTCCCCAGGGCTCTGTCCTTGTCACCAGGGGATGTCTGTCCTTGTCCCCAGGACTCTGTCCTTGTCACCAAGGGTGTCTGTATTTGTCACCAGGGGTGTCTGTCCTTGTCCCCAGGGCTCTGTCCTTGTCACCAGGGGTTTGTCCTTGTCACCAGGTGTCTGTCCTTGTCCCCAGGGCTCTGTCCTTGTCCCCAGGGCTCTGTCCTTGTCCCCAGAGTTCTGTCCTTGTCCCCAGGGCTCTGTCCTTGTCACCAGTTGGGTCTGTCCTTGTCACCAGGGGTCTGTCCTTGTCCCCAGAGGTGTCTGTCCTTGTCCCCAGGGCTCTGTCCTTGTCCCCAGCTCTGGGCTCCCCACCCCAGGAGTGGGGTGAGGATGAGCAGCTCCCGGGGTATTTCCCGGGCTGGGGTCGCCCATTGGGATTGAGGTGAAACAATGGGATTTATTTATTTAAAATATAATAATGGGATCTTCCCCAGCCCTGCAGCAGCTCCCCTGACACCTCCAAAGCCCGGGAATTTTGTGATTCCCGTGCCACCACCCTGGGCTTTGCCTCTCCATCCTTTCCCGTGGCTTTGGGGCTGAGCCCGGGGCAGAGGGGGCAGCCTGGGATTTTGGGAGCGAGCAGAGCTCGGCTTTGCCCTTTTTCCCCATTTCCAGCCCAGGAGGGAGAGGCTGGAGCCTCTGGAATTGTCTCCGTGCTCTGCAGGGCCCTGTGCAGAGCAGGGCTGGAGCCTCTTCCCCGGCTGTTCTTCCTCCTCAGGGGAAAGATTGTTCCAGAAACCCAGCCCTGAGCTGCCCCTGGGGAGAGTCAGCCAAAATCGGGCTCTGCAGGGGGTTTTATAGAACCCCAAAGGATGCAGTGGGGGTTTGGGGCTGCAGCTCCCACCTCAGGCAGGGTTTGGGCTTTGAGCTGGGGCTGCTCAGAGCTCCCTCATGTCCCAGGGGTGGCTCTGGGGCCACCGAGGGCCCCTCACACCCGATCACCAATTAAATCCTGTCCCCGACGCTTCGCCAGTGTTTAGGAGCTCTTTTTTAATTTTTTAATTTTTTTTTATATATATTTTGTTTTCCTTCTTAGTTATTTTTTCCCCTGACAGTAATTAAAAGTGAAATTGTACATTTCTTGACAGACTCTTGCACATATGGAGAGTTTGCATTTAAACGTGCCTCTTTCAGTCATACAGATTTTTGGGTGCTCTTTTTTTTTATTTATTTATTTCATTTCATTTCATATTTTATTTTTTTTTTTCCCCCCCCTTTCCTCATCGGAATTTTCCCCGGGAGCTCAGCCCCAGCCTCTGGCTGGCCACGTTCTCACCGAGCCTCGTCATCCTGCTGGCTCTGGGGCACTGGGGGCCACCAGGGTCCCGGCCCCAAACCTTCGTTAGGGGCTGCGCTAATTAATGCCGAGCTCCGCGTGGGGGAACGCAGCCGTAAATTAGTGGGAGCTGGCTCCGGGCCAGGGAACAAAGTCGCTGCAACTCCGTGAGAGTGGGAGGAAAAGCTGGAGGAGGAGAAGGGAGAGGAGATGGGAATGAAACGAGGCCTCCCAAGCCCCGTCCCCTTTTGTCTGGTGGCGCTTCTTCCACGTCCCCAATGGAGACGTTTCCTCCTCTTCCCGCTCATCCCTGGGACAGGAGGGGTCTCTTCCCCCCTAAATTCCTGGGGATAAACTGGGGAGGGTCTGAGGCTGGGAATGAGCTGGCAGCTTTTCCTGCCTGGGGGACACGGGTGGAGATGGAGGCGCTCGGCCTTCTCACCCTGTGGTGAAAACACCTCCCGAAATACGGGGTGTCCTGGGGAGGGACAGGGTGAGGCAGGGATCCTCTCACCCTGCAGGGCTTTGTCCTGTCTGTGTTTGTTGGGCAGGTCCTCGGGATCCCTCAGCTTCCCTTTCCTCCTCCTCCTCAGCTTCTTGTGCTCTAAAAGGAAAAACGGCCCCAAACCATGGGAAAAATGGCACTAAAATAAGAAAAATGGACCTAAACCAAAAAACATTGCCCTAAAGCAGGAAAAAATGGCCCTAAACCAAGAAGAACTCTTCTAAAGCAGCAACCATGGCTCCAGGGCAGGAACCATGGCCCTAAAGCAGAACCCTGACCCCAAAGCAGAACCATGGCCCTAAAACGGAACCATGGTCCCAAAGCAGAACCCTGACCCCAAAGCAGAACCCTGTCCCTAAATCAGAACCCTGTCCCTAAATCAGAACCCTGACTCTAAAGCAGAACCCTGACCCTAAATCAGAACCCTGACCCTAAATCAGGACCCTGTCCCTAAATCAGGACCCTGTCCCTAAAGCAGAACCGTGTCCCTAAAGCAGAACCCTGACCCTAAAGCAGAACCGTGTCCCTAAAGCAGAACCCTGACCCCAAAGCAGGAACACGGCTCCAGGGTTCTGGAGTGTGTCAGAGATGGGCTCTGCAGAGCTCTGTCCCTGTGGTGCCACCCAGGACACACCTGTGTGCCCTCAGGTGCTGCCAGGGGTGACCTTGCAGAGCCCCCGGTGTCCGGCCCCAGCAGGGAACATCTGGCCAGCTGTGCCGGGCCAGGCTGCCCCGAGCCTGGGGTGTGACACAGCAGCCAAGATTCATTCACTGCAATAAATCCCAAAATTCATTCACTGCAATAAATCCCAAACCCCAGAGCGCTCCCAGCCAGCTCTGCTGCCCTCAGATGCTCCAGAGGGAACTTTTCCTGGTGTCCCAAAGTGGGAATGTGCCAAAGGAAAAGGAGAACCCTCCCGTTCTCTGCCGACAGCAGCTTTGAACTCTTCACCTTCGTGCAGTTTCCCTGCAGAAATACCTGGATTAGGGAATTGTTTGGGTTGGAATGGGATCTTCGGGCAGTGACATCAGCCACTCCCAGCCCTGGAAAACACAGAGACAGGAGGCTGATAATGACTGGGATGAAAAAAAAAAAGAAAGGGAATGAAATCGAGCCAGAAACGAGGATAATTTATTCAAGTCCCTGGAAATCAGCGTGGCTGTTTGCACGCCTGGAAAAGCACGGGGAGCAGAGCAGGGATGCTTCAATAATGAATATCTCCTCTCTTGCAGGTTGTTGGTCTTCTCCTGCCCAACCAGACCCTGGCCTCCACTGTGTTTTGGCAGGTAACGCTCCTTGGGCAGGGTGGGAATGTGGGAAGAGCTGATCTCGCCCCAGGACAGTTTTGTCCCACCCTGGCCGTGCCTGGCTGCATTCAGGGAAAGGCCTGGAAACAAATCCTGGCTCCCCTTTTCATCCCACCCCTTCCTGTGCCGTGGCAGAACAGGCCAGAACCAAAAATCTGCTTTTTGGAGCTGTTTTGTCCTTGGTGTAAGCGGCTCTTCCACGAGTGGTTTGGCCCCAAGCTCACACATCTGCCTTGGGGAGGACACGGAGCTGGGATTTTCCCTGGGGAAGGATGCTGGGAGGGAAACATCCGTGCAGGGATGTGATGGGAGGTGATGGGAGACCCAGTTCCCAGGAATTTTGGGAATTTTGGGAATAGGTGTGCGTGGCAAAGCCCCGGCACTCAGCCTGCTGCAGCAACTTTGGGGGAAAATCATCTGTGTGGAGGGAGGTGCTGGTGTGATCTCCCGTTAAAATCCTGGGAATTAAGAGTAAGGGGAGGAAGCATGCACGGGAAAGAGGGATCCATAGTAAACACAGCACAAGTGTGATTCCATCGCCAGCTGAAAGGAAGGAACGAGTTATTTTCAGCCTCCTCTCTAGTGGCAAATGTCTTTTTATTGTCTGCAGAGTGAGTGGGGATGGAGCTGTGCAGGCAGGAGGGCTCCGAGCACAGCGGGATCTGCCCGGAGCCGGGAGCACGGCGGGACAGCCGTGCCGGGAATTTGGGCTCTGGTGGATTTGGTTGGGAGCTGTCCCGGCTGGGACATCCTGAGACCCTCAGGGGCTTGGGGGACACTCACCCAGCCTGGTCAGGGACACGTGGGATGGAATTCCGGACTGCTCTGGGTGGGAAGGGACCTTAAATCCCACCCCATTCCAAGGCCAGGCTGGGCAGGGATGGTGGGAGGTGTCCCTGCCCACCCGGGGTGGAATTATTATGTAGGGTTTTTGTTGGGTTTTGTAGGGTTTTGTTGGGTTTTGTGGGGTTTTGTTGGGTTTTGTGGGGTTTTGTAGAGTTTTGAAGGGTTTTGTGGGGTTTTCTGGGGTTTTGTTGGGTTTTGTGGTGTTTTTTTGGGTTTTGAAGGGTTTTGCTGGGTTTTGTAGGGTTTTGTAGAGTTATTTAGGGTTTTGTGGGGTTTTGTTGGGTTTTGTGGGGTTTTGTAGGGTTTTCTGGGGTTGTGTTGGGTTTTGTAGGGTTTTGTAGGGTTATGTAGGGTTTTGTCGGGTTTTGTGGGATTTTGTTGGGTTTTGTGGGGGTTTTTTGGGTTTTGTAGGTTTTTGTGGGGTTTTTTAGGGTTTTGTAGGGTTTTGTGGGGTTTTGTGGGGTTTTGTAGGGTTTTGTAGGGTTATGTAGGGTTTTGTCGGGTTTTGTGGGATTTTGTTGGGTTTTGTGGGGTTTTTTTGGGTTTTGTAGGGTTTTGCAGGGTTTTTGTGGGGTTTTGTAGCGTTTTGTGGGGTTTTTTAGGGTTTTGTAGCGTTTTGTGGAGTTTTGTGGGGTTTTGTAGGGTTATGTAGGGTTTTGTCGGGGTTTGTGGGATTTTGTTGGGTTTTGTGGGGGTTTTTTTGGGTTTTGTAGGGTTTTTTGTGGTTTTTGTGGGTTTTTTTAGGGTTTTGTAGCGTTTTGTGGGGCTTTGTGGGGTTTTTGCAGGGTTTGTGCTGATGCAGTGTCTCCTCTGCCCCGCAGTGGTTGAACCAGAGCCACAACGCGTGTGTGAACTATGCAAACCGCAACGCGAGCAAGGTGAGCACCGCGGGGCCTTCCCGCAACCCCTGCCTCTTCCCCGGCCCCCAGACCTCCACAGGGACACTGAGGCACCTCTGCACCGGCCACTGGCCCCTGGGCAAGCACAGCCCATGCTCCTGGCTGGTCTGGAGTGGTTGGGATCTACAGGAGCTGGGCTGGGGGAGCAGGAGGAAGCTCCTCGCTCCCATCTCCCGAGGATTTTGTTCCTGCTGGTGGCCGTGGGAAGAGCTGGGGCCGTCCCTGCTCCGTCCTTGCTGGGGCTGTCCCTGCTCCCTTCCTTCCTGCACTCATCCCGTGTTGGGATGCGGGAAGCTGAGCTGGAATCCATCCAGCTCATGGAGAGAACATTTCACAGACAAAATGTTGGCTGTGGCGAGTTTGGGGTTCAGCACTGGAGGGCAGAGATGCTAATTTGGTACCATTTGCTGAATTCCCCTCACATCCTCCCTTTGAGCTGCTATTATTGTAATTTTCTGATGCCAATTAATTTTCCATTCCCCGTAACCTTGCTCGGGAGGCCACGATTTCCTCGCTTTTGCCTCTTGGGATGACAGACCGTGTGTGACACAGAACAATATGACAAAAATTAAACCTGTCTGTGCTTCGAAACAAACACACCCAAACCAAAACAAACAAAGAAAAAACTGGGTTGAATATTAATAACCAGAAGTTTGTTTATTGAAAATGTGCTTTGTTTTTCTTTCCAAAGCCTTCTCCGACATCCAAGTTCATCCAGGGCTACTTGGGAGCTGTCATAAGTGCTGTCTCAATTGCAGTGGGTAACTCTTTATATCTCTGCATTTCGTGGCTAACGAGCTGCTGGGGAGGTGTTTTTGGGATTGCCAAGCATGTTTTTAATCTTCCCGTGGACTCACCTGTGTCTTGGCCAGCAGCAGATGTTGTCACCTGGGCTGTGGCTGGCCCTGCATGCCCGAGCTTTCCGCTGTGCTGGGAGCCCCGGCTCTCCCTCCTGCGTTAATTGGAGGTGAATTCATTAACCAGGCTCAATTAGAGGCCTCGAGGCTGCAGGGTGGCCGGGCAGGAGAGGCAGTTCTGGAATGTTCTCCTGGGGGTGGAATTACGTCTTGCCCTGTGGATGTGTTTCAAGCTGGAGCTGGCGTTCCAGGTCATGGAATCCTGGAATGGTTTGGGTGGGAAAGGACCTTAAATCCCATCCAGTGCCATCCATCCATGGGCAGGGACAGCTCCCACTGTCCCAGGGATCCAGGGGCAGCCATGGGAAATGTGGGAATTGCAGCCCAGGCAGGAATTCCTTGCCAAGATCCCAGCCCAATCTCCCCTTTCCCACTGGAAGCCATTCCCTGGCTCCTGGCCCTGCAGCCCTTGGCCCCAGTCCCTCTCCAGCTCTCCTGGAGCCCCTGCAGGGACTCTCAGCATTCCCTGCATTTTGCCCTTCTCCAGGGGAACATTCCCAGCTCTCCCAGCCTGGCTCCAGAGCAGAAGGGCTCTGGAATCCTGGAAAGGTTTGGGTTGGAAAAGACCTCAAATCCCATCCCATCCCCACCCCATCCATGGCAGGGACAGCTCCCGCTATCCCAGGCTGCTCCCAGCCCCAGTGTCCAGCCTGGCCTTGGACACTTCCAGGGACCCAGGGGCAGCCACAGCAAATCTGGGAATTTTCCCATTTTTTCAGGTCACAGGGAATTTGCTGTTGCTCCTTGAGCAGCTGCTGGACCATTTTCCAAAGGGTGTGGATTTGCTGGAAGTGCCTGGAGGTTTTGAGGGAAAGTTCTGTTTTATTGGACACCCCTGGATGGTTTTCCATGTCACAGTCTGTGCTGGGCACTGCTGCTCCCGTCCCCTCTGCTGTCCCTTCCTGCAGAGTTCACCTGAGCTCTCACCTGAGCTCTGAACTGAGCTCTGAACTGAGCTCTCACCTGAGCTCTGAACTGAGCTCTGAACTGAGCTCTCACCTGAGCTTTTACCTGAGCTCTCACCTGAGCTCTCTCCTGAGCTCCCAGCCCAGCTCACCTGAGCTCTCACCTGAGATCCCAGGCCAGTCCAGCTCACCTGAGCTCCCAGCCTCGTTCACCTGAGCTCTGAACTGAGCTCCCAGCCCAGCTCACCTGTGCTCTCACCTGTGCTCTCACCTGAGCTCTCACCTGAGCTTTTACCTGAGCTCTCACCTGAGCTTTTACCTGAGCTCCCACCTGAGCTCCCACCTCCATCACCCCCAGAGCTGTGCTCCCTTTCCCAGCTGAATTTTAACCCTAACCCCATCCCTGCCACCTCCGTGCTTTGTTTTTCCGTGCCCGGCTTCCTGGGCAGCGCGGGATGGCTTCCCTGAGCCCTCCCTCCTCAGGACAGCGTTTTTGTCACCTCTGTGTCACCCCCGAGGGTCCCATCCCCAGCTGGGTGTGCCTCTGCTCGCTCCGCTCTGCTGCTCGCTGCCTCTGGCATTAATAATCTTAATTAATTAATTAATGTTCCCTCTTGGAACAGGGGCACGTTAGAGGGGCAGGACACACGGACAAGGATCTTGGCAGAGTTTTGTCCCCTGAGAAGTTTTGGTAAGGAACCCGTGGAGTGTGGAGGTGTCCCAGGCAGGGCTTGGGAATCTTTAATTCCTTGGAATTCCTGGAGCTCTGCTGCCCGGGGGATGGTGCCATGGGGACAGGCAGGAGCTTCCCCTGCATCTGTGGCTCTTCTGGGCTGGAGAAGGACAGAAACCTTCAGGGGTTCTCCTTCCTGGTGGTGGGAGGTTTTCCTCCACGTGGAGCATGAAGGGCAAAACCTTCAGGGTTCCTCTGTCCTGATGTTGGGAGCTTTTCCTTCACGTGAAATATGAGGAGGAGCAGCCTTTAGAGGTTCTTCTGGGTTTTGAGAGGTTTTCCTCCACACAGAGCATGAGGAGCATCAGTCTAATTTAGAGGTTCTTCTCCTTCTGGATGTTGGGAGCTTTTCCTTCATGTGAAATATGAAGAGCAGCAGCATTTTAAGGTTCTCCTTCCTCGTGATGGGAGTTTTTCCTCCACACAGAGCACGAGGAGCATCAGTCTAGAAGTTCTTCTCCTTCTGGATGTTGGGAGCTTTTCCTTCATGTGAAATATGAAGAACCATTTAAATGTTCTCCTTCCTAATGTTGGGAGCTTTTCCTCCACATGGAGCAGGAGGAGCAGCAGCTTTTAGAGATCTAATGTTGGGAGGTTTTCCTCCATGTGAAATATGAACAGCTGCAGCCTTTAGAGGTTCTCCTGGGTGCTGGGAGCTTTTCCTCCACATGGAGCACAAGGAGCAGCAGCCTTTAGAGGTTCTTCTCCTTCTGGATGTTGGGAGGTTTTCCTCCATGTGAAATACGAAGAGCAGCAGCCTTTAGAGGTTCTCTTGGGTTTTGGGAGGTTTTCCTCCACACAGAGAACGAGTCTAATTTAGAAGTTCTTCTCCTTCTGGCTGTTGGGAGCTTTTCCTTCATGTGAAATATGAAGGGCAGCAGCCTTTAGAATTTCTCTTTCCTAACATCGGGAGCTTTTCCTCCACATGGAGCATGAGGAGCAGCAACCTTTAGAGGTTCTTCTCCTCCCTGATGTTGGGAGCTTTTCCTTCATGTGAAATATGAAGAGCAGTAGCATTTAAAGGTTCTCTTTCCTAATGCTGGGAGATTTTCCTCCACACAGAGCATCAATCTAATTTAGAGGTTCTTCTCCTTCTGGATGTTGGGAGCGTTTCCTTCACGTGAAATATGAAGGGCAGCAGCATTTTAAGGTTCTCCTTCCTCATGATGGGAGCTTTTCTTCCACGAGGAGCAGCAGCCTTTAGAGGTTCTCCTGGGTGTTGGGAGGTTTTCCTCCACATGGAGCATGAGGAGCATCAGTCTAATTTAGAGGTTCTTCTGGATGTTGGGAGGTTTTCCTCCATGTGAAATATGAAGAGCAGCAGCATTTAGAGGTTCTTTAGAGACCTTTAGAGGTTCTCCTGGGTGCTGGGAGCTTTTCTTCCATGTGAAATATGAAGAGCAGCAGCATTTAGAATTTCTCCTTCCTAATGCTGGGAGGTTTTCCTCCACACAGAGCACGAGGAGCAGCAGCCTTTAGAGGTTCTCTTGGGTTTTGGGAGGTTTTCCTCCACACAGAGCATCAATCTAATTTAGAAGTTCTTCTCCTTCTGGGTGTTGGGAGCTTTTCCTTCACGTGAAATATGAAGAGCAGCAGCATTTAAAGGTTCTCCTTCCTAATGCTGGGAGGTTTTCCTCCACACAGAGCATGAGTCTAATTTAGAGGTTCTTCTCCTTCTGGATGTTGGGAGCTTTTCCTTCATGTGAAATATGAAGAGAAGCAGCATTTAGAGGTTCTCCTTCCTCATGATGGGAGCTTTTCCTCCACACAGAGCACGAGGAGCAGCAGCCTTTAGAGGTTCTCCTGGGTGTTGGGAGGTTTTCCTCCACACGGAGCATGAGGAGCATCAGTCTAGAAGTTCTTCTCCTTCTGGATGTTGGGAGGTTTTCCTCCACACAAAACACGAGGAGCAGCAGCCTTTAGAGGTTCTCCTGGGTGTTGGGAGATTTTCCTCCACACAGAGAACCAGTCTAATTTAGAAGTTCTTCTTCTGGCTGTTGGGAGCTTTTCCTTCATGTGAAATATGAAGAGCAGCAGCCTTTAGAATTTCTCTTTCCTAACATCGGGAGCTTTTCCTCCACATGGAGCATGAGGAGCAGCAGCCTTTAGAGGTTCTTCTCCTCCCTGATGTTGGGAGCTTTTCCTTCATGTGAAATATGAAGAGCAGTAGCATTTAAAGGTTCTCTTTCCTAATACTGGGAGATTTTCCTCCACACAGAGCATGAGTCTAATTTAGAGGTTCTTCTCCTTCTGGGTGTTGGGAGCTTTTCCTTCATGTGAAATATGAAGAGCAGCAGCATTTAGAGGTTCTTTAGAGACCTTTAGAGGTTCTCCTGGGTGTTGGGAGCTTTTCTTTCATGTGAAATATGAAGAGCAGCAGAATTTAGAATTTCTCCTTCCTAATGCTGGGAGGTTTTCCTCCACACAGAGCATGAGTCTAATTTAGAGGTTCTTCTCCTTCTGGATGTTGGGAGCTTTTCCTTCATGTGAAATATGAAGAGAAGCAGCATTTAGAGGTTCTCCTTCCTCATGATGGGAGCTTTTCCTCCACACAGAGCACGAGGAGCAGCAGCCTTTAGAGGTTCTCCTGGGTGTTGGGAGGTTTTCCTCCACACGGAGCATGAGGAGCATCAGTCTAGAAGTTCTTCTCCTTCTGGATGTTGGGAGGTTTTCCTCCATGTGAAATACGAGGAGCAGCAGCCTTTAGAGGTTCTCTTGGGTTTTGGGAGATTTTCCTCCACACAGAGAACGAGTCTAATTTAGAAGTTCTTCTCCTTCTGGGTGTTGGGAGCTTTTCCTTCATGTGAAATATGAAGGGCAGCAGCCTTTAGAATTTCTCTTTCCTAACATCGGGAGCTTTTTCTCCACATGGAGCATGAGGAGCAGCAGCTTTTAGAGGTTCTTCTCCTCCCTGATGTTGGGAGCTTTTCCTTCATGTGAAATATGAAGAGCAGTAGCATTTAAAGGTTCTCTTTCCTAATACTGGGAGATTTTCCTCCACACAGCATGAGTCTAATTTAGAGGTTCTTCTCCTTCTGGGTGTTGGGAGCTTTTCCTTCATGTGAAATATGAAGAGCAGCAGCATTTAGAGGTTCTCCTTCCTCATGATGGGAGCTTTTCTTCCACGAGGAGCAGCAGCCTTTAGAGGTTCTCCTGGGTGTTGGGAGGTTTTCCTCCACATGGAGCATGAGGAGCATCAGTCTAATTTAGAGGTTCTTCTGGATGTTGGGAGGTTTTCCTCCATGTGAAATATGAAGAGCAGCAGCATTTAGAGGTTCTTTAGAGACCTTTAGAGGTTCTCCTGGGTGCTGGGAGCTTTTCTTCCATGTGAAATATGAAGAGCAGCAGCATTTAGAATTTCTCCTTCCTAATGCTGGGAGGTTTTCCTCCACACAGAGCACGAGGAGCAGCAGCCTTTAGAGGTTCTCCTGGGTGTTGGGAGGTTTTCCTCCACACAGAGCATCAGTCTAATTTAGAGGTTCTTCTTCTGGCTGTTGGGAGCTTTTCCTTCATGTGAAATATGAAGAGCAGTAGCCTTTAGAATTTCTCTTTCCTAACATCGGGAGCTTTTCCTCCACATGGAGCATGAGGAGCAGCAGCCTTTAGAGGTTCTTCTCCTCCCTGATGTTGGGAGCTTTTCCTTCATATGAATATGAAAGCAAATATGAAGAGCAGTAGCATTTAAAGGTTCTCCTTCCTAATGCTGGGAGATTTTCCTCCACACAGAGCATGAGTCTAATTTAGAGGTTCTTCTCCTTCTGGATGTTGGGAGCTTTTCCTTCATGTGAAATATGAAGAACCATTTAAAGGTTCTCCTTCCTAATGCTGGGAGCTTTTCCTCCACACAGAGCATGGGGAGCAGCAGCATTTAGAGGTTCTCCTGGGTGTTGGGAGCTTTTTCTTCATGTGAAATATGAAGAGCAGCAGCATTTAAAGGTTCTCCTTCCTGATGATGGGAGTTTTTCTTCCACATGGAGCACGAGGAGCAGCAGCCTTTAGAGGTTCTCCTGGGTGTTGGGAGGTTTTCTCCACATGGATCATGAGGAGCAGCCTTCACAGGTGTTTTTTCCTGATGTTGGAAGGTTTTCCTCCATGTGAAATACACAGGGCAGCAACATTTAGAGGTTTAGAGGTTTTTCTTCTTCTTTAGAGGTTCTTCTCCTCTCTGGTGCTGGAAGAGCCCTTCCCAGTGGAGCAGGGAAGGTGAGCAGTGACCTTTCCGTGTCCTGGTGTCCCTGCAGACATTCCAGCTGGGAATGGTGTGTCCTGAAATCCATCACGGATCCCAGCAGCCTGGAGAAGCAGAGCAAGGACTGGGATATGGGTCAGGCTTTGGAGGGAGCCCCTTCCCTGCCTGCAGGTGGAAAAGGGCCGGGAGAAGGTCGGGGAGGACAGAGCAGAGGATTTGGGGCTGTGTTGCTGTGAGGACACCTCAGCCTGGACTCCTCACAGCAGGGACAAACTGCTCCATCAGGTGCTGGATGAGCAGGTTCTGACCTCACTGTCCTGCAGGTAAATGGGAATTCTTGGGAAATCTTTGCAAATATCCTGATTTTCTTCCCTTTTTAGAGAGAGGGGGGTTGCTACATCCGTAACTCCTGATTTCCATCCCTCCAGGGTGAATCTGGGGAGGAATCAATATTCTTTTATTCCATTTCTCCCCATATTTCCTTTTCTCTCCAACTACTCCCAAGACACAGCAGAGCTTTGTGGAGGTGCAGAATTCCACCCCTTCTCCTGTGCATGACCCAGGTGAAGGAATCACTTGAAATAAGGATGGGAAAGGTGTTTGGGTTGGAACAGATCCCAAATCCCATCCCAGGGGGCAGGGACAGCTCCCACAGCTGGATCCAAGCCCAATATCCAACCCAGCCTGGGACACTCCCAGGGACCCAGGGACAGCAAATCTGGGAATTCCATCCTCTGATATCTCTATTTCTCTTCCTATGACTGAAGTT